GTGTGTGTGTGTGTGTGTGTGTGTTCAACATATTTAAAATTACGAAAGATTTAGAATATCTTTCATGTATTTAAGATTTATGTATAAATATCTTGTGTGCATGCTTTTTGATATCATATATAATTTATGTTTAATTATGTGATATAGTTATATACATTCAAAGAAGATAATCGATTGTCGAAGTATATTGTTCAGACAAAGCCAAAATTTCCAAATTTAATGACAGAAGCCGTTGTTCCATCTTTTCTTTCTGATGGAACTATGCAAAGCCAGACACAATCTTCAGACAAAGTACAAATACTGGCAATTCATATTTATAGCGAATTATTTAATTTAAAAAAAAATCTTTCTGCAAGTGATACCTTAGAAGATGACGTATTACCATGCTGTATTGAGCTCTTAGATAGCGACAAGTATGTATAATATTATATATGAAAACTGTAAAAATAATTTATCTATTTAAATAAAATCTTGATATATTGTGCAATAGTATTAATATTAAGACATAATATTTAAGATATAATTTTTTTATTTTTATTTAGTTTTGTCGTGCAATTTGAATTAATAACGTTGTTAACTGCTGTAACTTCGGATACATTTTCCAAAGAAGCGCAGTATGTTATAAAAAATGGATTAATATCAAAATTAGTAAAGCTACTTCAATCTGCATCACCTAAAATTGTGGAAAAAGCAATGCATTCTTTAGGAATTATAATCAAAGATAGACCATATGCACGTGATCTTGCCCTTGAAGAAAATGCTCTACTTTCTTTGGTCAACTTAATTAAACCTGATACTTCAGTAAGTAACTGTATCTAATAATATTCTTTAATTACATTATCTTATCTTTTATATTGTCATTATTAACTTCAAAGACATTTTTTCCGTTTATTTAAGAAATGTATGAATGAAATTTGCATACTGAACAACAAAAAATGTAATAAATAATTGCTAACTTTTTGTAAGCGACTAAATTTTTAACAGAAAAATTATATTCATATAATTTTTTTTTTTAATAGTAGCAATAAATCAATTTTATAATTTTATATTTTTCTCTTCTATGCAAGAAACTGAAGATAATCAAATTATGCCAATATTGGTTTAAAACATTTAGGTAGAAATATTTTTCACATTCTGTTTACTTATTATAATAAAGTTATAACTAATTTAACAAATAAATTTAAATAGTGCCTAAAAGAGAAAATTCTATATTGCACGAAAAAAATATAGCTGTGCTTTGATAAAGTGGGCTTTTTAATACTGTAAAGTAAATAATAATTATCAATGAATATATAAAATTATATAGGAAAGTGTAGTTATTCATTGTAAAGAGTAAATACTAAATACTTTAAGAGATTTTAAAAGGTGATGCTTTATACAAGTTTAAGCTGAAAATTTCGTACGACTTATACGACTTATTTCGTAAGACTTAACTCGAGTGCTTTTTGAAATTTTTGAGTAAAACAAAACTTTTCTTTATTTTAATTATCCTGTATCTTTAAAATTAAGTTGTTTCAGATATAAAATTTTCGTCTTGAATTTGTGAGAAATCATTATTTAAAATCTTTTAGAGTAATTAGTACCAATCTGTTTATTGAAGAATTATTCCTTCTACAATTATTGTAATAAATAATAAATATTTCAACAATGATAATCTCAAATATTAAATATACGAGAGAAATTATTTATTATTTAAATTACAATATATAGCTTCTATAAATAAGTCTCTCTCTCTCTCTTTCTCTCGTTTCTCTCGATAATCATTTATTTTATCTGATATCATATTGAGATCATAATTCTTTTTGATCTATTAGGTTAGATATGTGGAGTATATTCATATTGAAGTAGAATATTTCTTGAATTACTTTTTTATTTTTTTTTTTTTGTTAGCATCTGCTAATAAAATTAGCTTTTACCTTATGTGTTTTTAAGAAAACGCTCTGAAATATGAAACAATGATAACGATGTTTACAAGCGGTTAGCATAAAAACTAGCAAGACAAACTTAGCTTTTATATGTTAAGTAGAATTTTAAAACTATGTTTGTCTTAATAAGTAGACAATATTTCAATATTTTCTAATACTGATTTTCTAAAACGATGCAGACAGGATCTATATACAACATTGTAAGGACTTTAACTTATTTATGTAAAAGATCGAACTCGGCTTTATCTCTTGACCGGATTAGGCCTATTCTACCAGTATTTAAACGCCTGTTTAATAATCAAAACATTGGTGAAGAATTACGTTGTAAGATATTCATGTTTTATTTTATATATTGTATAACTTATTCTGAATTTAAGATATTTACTATGAATTTTTTATGTTGCTGTTTTTTCCAGCCAATATTTGCAAGATGCTCTCTTATATTACCTATGGATCCAACCATAACGTACGAGCAGTATTGGAAACTGGCATTCTATTGAAAATTGTATACTGTCTGACGTTGAAAGAGAAAAGTATTCTTATCCCAGCATTGCAAACAATTAAAAATATAGTAGCGATAGATGAGGCGGCTGAATCGGAAGCTTCAATTGTAGCGAATTATTTGCCGATTTTTTATTCCTTGTTGCAAAATCATTTGGACGAAGATATTATACAGGAAATTATTTTGATTATTTTTGAAATGGTTACTAACATGGACCAAATTCAAAATGTGTTAGATGCTAATCTGTTACCATCATTGATGAAAATATTTGTTGTGTTTGTAAGTATGTTTAAGTAAATCCGAAAAAATCAGTCGAATATCTGTTCTAACTATTTTTATGTTCTAACTCAAATGGATAGAAATACGAAATGTCTTTTTCATTATGTTGTATTTAAATGTATTCATGTCCGTATTCTATTATTTTTTGATTGAATTGAAAAAATCAGGAGCGCGAATTTGTAAATGAATTAATTTTTATTCATTTTAATCCATTTTTTTTTACTGTACTGTAGGTATAAATAAGAAATAAATAAAAAGTCTTTGAGAACTGACGCTAGCTATTGTTACGAATAAGAATTTATTAATTGTAACTGATAATAATAAATTCATATTTGCAACAATAACTAGCGTCGGCTTTTTATTTATTTTTGACTTATGCCATTAGAGTCTACGCAACTTTGAGATTGTTAGTACTGTGGGTGTTGTACATATATATATATATATATATATA